CGAGCTAGTGGGTAACAGACGTCTCCGAAAACGTCGGAGTGTTTTTGAAAATATGCGGTGTCTTGATAAACTGAGCAGATATTTGAGGTTTACACAGCTACATTCTCACCTGAAAATATGTTAAACGTTTATTTTGTGACCCAGAAAGAATAATAAGAGTAAAGTTAAAACTAACTAGCTGCCGCCATTGTTGGAAACTGAGCTGGGCTGCGCTATGAATTCTGGGACACAGCTTCTTCTTCTTCGGGGTTTAGGGCAGCTGGCATCCTTGTACATGCAGTGCTGCCATCTTCTGTTTCAGTGCGTTATTACACTCTTAAATCCTGCTACTTATTCCTGCGTCCTTTGTGATCTTACAAAGCTTCAAACGATGCGTCGACTATTAAATTAGTCGTCGACGATTTTAATAGTCGACATAATCGTGACTAGTCGACAAATCGTGGCAGCCCTATTTGTTACAGTCAGTTACCCAGGATTGTATTACTGTGCATTTGAGCTGCTGCATTGATGACTTATTTGAAATTGGTCACTCTCCGTTGGGTGACCAGACTTCCCTCTCTCTTGGATGTTTTTTCTGTTCCTTTGTTTGGGATTTTTCCAGCTCACAACAACGTCCAGGAAGTTCTGGAGTAATCTACTCCAGTTTTAGCCGTGTGTTCGTTTAGTTGATCTTCTTTCTGATTTGATGTCCCTCCTGTTCCTCACAGCTGTTTCATTATTGATGGTTCTGGTGGATCCCATTCTGAGACTGGCGTGTTTTAATAAATCTCACCATGTGGCAGAAGTGTGTCTGCGTCTTATGACAACAGGAGGTCATGTGACGGTCGCTCAGTGACGGATTCATTAGACCTGTTCAACTGCTTGTTAACATGAATGTCTAATCAGTCAATCAGCTGACTGCAGCCCATGTAGGGGTTGTTTAGATGACCTACTGAAGTTGAAAGAAACAGAAGCGAAGTGACTTCGTGACTTTGGATGTGGCAGGGTTGTCAGAGCCAGATGGACTTACACCCAGGAAAGTGGTTGGTGCTGCTTTCAAGCTGCATCTAGTAGTTCAAACAAGTGGATTTTCCTTCTGACTTCATTTAGTTGGTTTGATTCTTGGACGTTGCGTGCAAGAGATGTAAACCCTCATGATCAACAGCGTGCTAGTTGTAAGGACGATGTAAAAGCTTGGATACGAGCTCGAGTTCCTCAAACCTGGTCGTCTGCTGTGCTCCTGAACTGTTAGCCTGTAAATTAGTGACCTTTGGGTTTCTCATTAACTTCTAAAAGCTTAGGAACTCATGAGTTCAAGTCGGGGTGTTGAGGCATTCATATGTCCGTAACAAATTTGAATACCAACAATAGTTTTTAATAACCTGACCACGACCAATTAAGCCTTCGCAGCAGCCACAATGAAGAACATGAACACAGCAGCAGAATATGTTCCTCCTCTTTTCTAATGAGTCCTTGATAGAATTACAGGCTGTATTGTGTCCAAGTTTAGTAGCAGGGTTCGTACGGGTGCTTGAAATCCTTGAAAATGCTTGAATTTTAGTGTTGTCTTTTCAAGGTTTGAAAAGTGCTTGAATTTCAGATGTGGTGCTTGAAAGTGTATACACAAACTATATAGTTGTATGTATAGTTTTCAGGGTTTTTATCGGTTTCCAGCGTTATTTTGTTATCGTTTTTATCGTTTTGATCGTTGACTCGGTTTTCCTGGGTCTTTTCAGTGTGTTATGAAGAAATCTTCTTTTTTTCGGTACCAGTACTGGTTTTATTTTGTTGTATTTATCCGCGACACCTTAAAGGCCGGTCCATGAAAATATTGTCGGGCATAAACTGGTCCGTGGCGCAAAAAAGGTTGGAGACCGTTGCGCTAACATACCTGTTGGTCGCTGTTTTAATGAGTGTTTGATGGAAAACGACAGTCGCATGATAGGTGAGTCCTAGTAAATCATTTTCCAGTACGTGTACGTTACACATGCTATTTTTTAAAATTATGATTATTATTTTGCTAACTGTCAAACTCGCTGGAGAAATGATTGAAATGCACTGAGTGTGACGCAGTATGGCAGCGCAGTGCAGATTCAAACTGAAGTGTGCCAGTGAACATCAGTGAAGTCAGTGTGACACTGTGAGCTGCTCTCAGTGAAACAGCTGCCTCTCTGAGCTCTGATTAACGCCACATAATTCCACACATGATGATATTGACTGTGGCTGCCAGTATTCCTCAGCCTCATCGCTCATTAACAGAACGCAGATTTTGATGTTGGGAGGTTGAACAGTGCACTAGAAGAATGACACACTGAGAGTTTTTCTTTCAAAGAAACTGAAGAACTACTTTTGTCCAAAAAATGATACGTTTGTCAAGTAAACATTAAAGTCCCCAATAATCCTGGTCAATGATGGATCAACTTTTTTCTTATATTTTTGCTACTGATTTGACAATTTTGTTCTTGAACAATGTTTTCAAATTAAAAGCCTCACAATATGTTTTTACATCCATCTTAAGTTGGCAAATTGAGCTGTGTGATATTAAAAGCCAGTCTTAAGCTCAGGGACAAATCAAATGCTGATTATCTGCTCCTGCTCTTTGAGTCGAGGCATCAGCCGACACTGCCGACCAGCTGTAGCCTCGTCTGGGTCAGTGCACTCGCACGGCTTCACCTCACTCACGCAGACACATGCGCTGAGGAAGTCAAGTAGATCAAATTTCAGTTGAGTGCAGTCTGCACAGAGCAGCAGCAGGAGCTCTGATTGGTCAAATGTGGCATATTAGTGGGAGATGAGTATTGTTCCTGGCCTATCAGAGTTCCTGCTGGTGCACTTTTGGAGTTTATTTCAATTTTCTGATCCAAAAAAACCCCATGGGTGATGGTGTGTTTTCTGAAAAAAAGAGACATAAATGAGGTTGGAGGTTTGTTTCTGTAATCATGACCTCGGTGTAGACTTGGCTGTAGCTCAGGTAGAGCCAGTCACCTGCTAATCGGACATTTGGTGGGTCGACCCCAGTTTGTTCCAGTCTACGTGCCGAATATTATCTCCGAGCAAGATGGTAACCCCGAGTTGCTGCGATGCCTCCAGTGGAGTGTGAATGTTGGACTGAAGGAGCGTGGAAAAAAGTGATTGTGTGGATGGATGAATAAGGCAAGTTGTATAAAGCGCTTTGACTGCTCACAGTAGAAAAGTGCCGCTGATTTACTGTTTCCTTTTGACAATGTGTAGTCCTATGTTTTCATTTCAAAACTTTAATAATGCCTGACTTTATCTGAATATTGAATGTGTGGATTAATAATAACGTCATCCTTTTGTGATTGTAGTGCACTTCAAAACTCTATAAAGATTTAAAAATCAGGAGCCATGAATGTGAGACGTTTCCCCAGGAAATTCCATCATTTGTAATAAAGTAACTGTAACATTTTACTTTGTTACAACTGCTGGAATTTCCTGGGTGCAACAAAATGTTACAGTTACTGTAGAATAGATTAGAATGCCTTTGTTGTCACTATACAGTTGTACAATGAGATACAGAGCATCTCCTGTATCGGGGCGAGGTTGGTTTAGCATTTTTCTGTCATCATTATTTAAACATTGCACTTTGCATTTACTCTGGTTTTCTTTGAACAATATTTCAGGCGACTGAACATTAAAGAGTGACAAATATACAACAAACTGAAGTGAGGAAAGGGGGCAAATACATATTCCCAACACTGTGTGTACATACACATCGTGCTGTCTGTTTCAGAATGGAGCCGACGACGTGAAAAAGCACCGATGGTTTAAAACTATTGACTGGGAGGCCGTTCCTCTGAGGAAACTAAAGGTGGGTTTGATTCGGTGTATTTTTCACCTGCTCAGCTACATTCACATCAGGATGGTAAAAAATCTGCTTACATTTTGGACATTAGAATCATTTTCACAATTTCGCTTTTGTGCACGAGTACACCGATGGTTTCGAATGATGCAATAATGCTGTGATTGAATTGCAGACTTTCATTTAAGGACTTTCACATTGCAGACATCCCTGTTTTCTTCAGTTTCTACAGGTGCATAGAGTAATTGGACTTTTTTGCTCTATTTCTTAATTATTCAATGGCGAATGCTTTGATGATGATGATCTCTTTGCATTTGCAAACTGTTTGCAATCCAAAGAGATCTCGGTGGAAAAACCAAAGCTACGGGACACATGGTGAAAACTGCTCGATCGACTGTCGGGTTCGGTCTTTACAGACGAAATGCTGTGGTGAGCTCAGTAACTACAGAATTCAGGGGAAACCCACGCAAAGAGAAAAAATCTTGGCTCAGTTGGCTGAGTGGAGAAGAATGTGGCAATATTGAATCGAGAGGTGGCTTCAGGAATGTAAATGCAGAGGATTTCAGTCACGAGGAAATGATAGGAAACAATCCAGCTCGACAGCCTCTGTGTGGCTTCACGGGACGACACGTCGGAATGAAATGAATAACCCTTTGAACTGAGTTTAAGTCTGTGTGTTATCGCGATGTATTTTTGTAGTGCAGAATAGAGAACTGTGTCCCTGTCCAGATGTTTATGGATCAAACTTGGATGAATTAAGAACACTGCCTGTATGTGAATACTCACTAGCATTGCCCTGCAGGTCCACACCTCCATTTAACACGTTCCTCCTCCTTGTTTCCAGCCTCCTATAGTTCCTAAGGTTTCCCATGAGGGCGACACCTCCAACTTTGATGTTTACCCAGAGGACGACTGGAAAAAAGACCCCCCCGTGGCCGAGAAAGACTTGGAGGTCTTCAAAAACTTCTGATCCCTCAGCCGTGTCTATTTATTAATCGATTGATTTATGTGGATAACTAACAACACACATTGTAAAACTACTATTGCAGGTAGAAAACACTTATTTATCAAATTGGGGGATTTGCATCTTATCTGTAATAATGAACTTCCAAAGGACAGATGCTGTGACGTGTACGTATGAAACTAAAGACATGGTTAGCTTTTTATACTTTTATTTATCTGCTACTTTGAGTTTATTTTATTTTTTGTTTTTATTCTCTGAGCCATTCATATGCAAAAATATCTGGTTCATTTGAAACCAAAAGACTGTTACTTTCTGGGTATAAAACAGAAAAAAAATCAGGTCTTTTTATATAGTCGTGTTTTATAGTTTCTCTCTTTTTAAAATGTTCATGTAGTCATGTTCAATGTGACTGCAGACTGGTACTGTAACAGTCTTCTGATCAGCAGTCATTAATGACTTATTCTATATGTAGTCAGACACTTGGACAGGAAACCAGTAGCACTTGTAAAGAAAGTGCCTTACATCACTGTTTGATGTCTCGCAGCTACACATTTGAATTCTGTGCTGTGTCAATGGAGTTCAAAGTATAGTGGACGTGGAACGTGAGGTGCTGTTGGAGACAACATACCACTGAACTGTTGTCACATCTAATAATGTAAAGCTGTGTAACATCTCTGCGTTAGGTCTCCACAGCCCAAGGTTTTTGCCATGACTGTAGAGCCACAGCTGCTCTGCAGGCGCTTTGCTGCACCTCACTCATTTTCATTCTTGTTGTCGTATTTTATTTAAAGCCAAGGATGTTATGTAAGAGCCTCATTTAGTGCATCACAGTACAGAGTGAATGTGCAGTTGGTAGGGATACGAATCTAAATTCTCTAGAAGAACCAGTTCCCAGTTATAGTTAGTCTGCCTGCCCATCAACCCTGCTTATCCCCTTGCATTTGCACTACAGTCAGCCGATTTCAGTTCATGCGCCGATGAGGTGGCACAGTTATCTTTATTGCACAAAACCGTGAGAGTGCAGTGGTACAAAGGAAAGTGTGTCAGGACAGAAACGGCTGTTAATGATGTCGCTAACACAACATCAGCTCTTTACACAGACAGCACAGCGTGCTAACGCTAAGCTAGCCAAGAACCCAGAGTTAAATGAAAGCATCGTGAATCTGACGCCAGCCCAGCGGTCAGAGCCTGAACATTGACCGGCATCGAAGCCAGCGATGAAGCCTTCATCTCCACCTGTTCATGTTTCTAAAGTAGAGGCACCGTGGCGATCGCTTAAAGTCTCTGTGCTGGTTTTCATCTTTGCTTCGTGTTCATACCTAAATACTAAGACAAGGATCACATGCGTGTCCTCGTCAGGACAGGATTTGTGTTGGTGTGTGCTGGGACTGTAGCCTCATGTTATTAAATGCTTATAAGATGATAGTTTCAGGTCACAAAGGACTTTCTCCTGGGAACAGTAAACTAAAGCACTTCATTGCTTTTAAGAACAGTGTTCTGACTAATATATTTTTGAGTAATGACCCCAGCACTGATCGCACAGCATGCAATTACTCTGAACGACTATAATGTTGTTGATGTGCTGCTTAGTGAAGGTGATGACTCTAAAAGCAGAGCCAGTGAAAATCAATCGGTGATATTGATCTTATCAGTTCCCATTCTTAGCATCCGTACAGTCAGTATTCATTAGCATTTCTGTGAACTGTTGCTTGCTGAGTATCACAACCATATCGACCTTCCAAAATAAACCTTGTTTATCACGGGTTTTGTGCCTCATGCTTCATTATGAGTTGGATCCATCTCATTCTAACTAAAATCGGCACAGCTTTCTTCCCTGCCTCCAGTGCACATGGCAGGCTCCATAAAAGGATGGGTGGATGGGGTTGGTGAAGAAGCTGAACCCTACCGAACACCTCCAGGATGAAGTAGAAGGGATGTTGAACTCTTGTCAAACATCACTGGCTGACTTCAGAAGTGCTGACTCCACTCCACTTGACCTTTTAGGCTGTTGTGAAAATTTTCTAAAAACGTTGAAAGTAGCAGGAGCAACCTGATGGAAGCCATGATGTTTGTTCAGATGGATACGATGATAGAAGGGTTGTATTTTATTATCCACCGTCCGCAGGATGACATAAGAGTATTTTCCTTTTTTCATTCGTCCCTCGTGTCTGTATCCTGTTTTGTAAACACTGGAATTATTTTTCCTAATTCGCTGTGCAGATGTTGCTCTGAACACAACCTTACTGGACCTTTGAAACATCCTAGCCTATCAATGCCTTTGACTGGAATTTGTTTTTGATACTTGCTCCAGCATCAATTCATGTAAAACACTCTGGGTGGACTGTGTCTCGCTGCAGAAACAATCACCCAATGTCCTTTTTACACAGGTTTTCCTCATCCATTTATTTGTATGTAGCTGCAGCCACACTGTCCATAAACAAGTTTTTTTTCTGATTGCTGTTTTTGTTTTTACAACTCAAATTGTTCCAGAGCTTGTGGCACACCCTGAAGACATTTTAAAAACACGTTTTAAAGGTGAAAAGTAGCTCCTGTGAAATGAGTTAGCGAGAGTCATTTGTCAGATAAGGCCGAGATACCCCCTCATGTCCACGTAGGTCTGCAAAAGTCCAGACAGCTAGAAGGATACCAGAATAGTGGAGCTGTTGGCGAGCCATGTATCTCATGATGGTAAGCTTTTCTCGTTGCACTTTTGTGTTATACGGACAAACAAAGCTGCTTTTCTGTTGTAACAGCGACGTTATGTGGTTCAGGACCTTACAGAAGTAGACGAAAGTCCACTCTTCAAGCTCGCAGATGACTTACGCATTGTTTATCAGTCCAATGTCAGTTGCAGTGGACTCCAGACATTGCAACTCTAAATTAGATAAACTGATAAGAAAATGATTGGATCCAAGTGTCTCGAGCACCTGAGACCTGCTGTCAGGCAGAGAGCACCTGTCCCCTGCAGCACCTGTCCCCTGCATCACCTGTCCCCTGCATCACCTGTCCCCTGCAGCACCTGTCCCCTGCAGCACCTGTCCCCTGCAGTTATAAAATGGCATGTTTGCTTACATTTATTTATTTAAAATAAAAGAGAAATTCTCATTCCTGTGAATAAGTCCTCAAGAGAAGTGGAAACATCAGAGATTTAACTTCAGTGAACTGAAATCTAACTTTAGATCCTTCAGACTCAGGTCACTGCATCTGTAAGACTGCACATAGATCTACTGAAGGTTTTCCAGAACATTATCACACATGGATGAATTCTGAGGTGGACCTTTTAAAGGAGACTCTTAGTGATTCAGTGACAGTCTGTTAGCTATGGATGAATGAAAACCCAAACTCCTGAGCCACATAATAAAGAAGCAGCTCTGTTAGGCCGCTGAAGGGAAGGACCACTGCAAACCAACTCAGAGCTCCCATTCAGTGAATGGTTTGATTAAAATGATAAGGATCCTGTTCTTTGACGGTCCTAGTCAGCAGATCTTAACATGTCCACTTGTTAAACACTAAAAGTAGTGTCCACCCTCCGGGACGATGCCAGAAAATTCAAGAATCGGCGACTGCATGCTGTAACCTGACACCTTTACCTTTATGGACACGCCTGTGCTGTAATCACCTGAGCTTAAATGTGTTGTTGACATTTGTGTGTTATTGTCTTGATACTTATCAGAGTGTATGATTGAATTATGCTGTTTATGGGCATCATTTTACAAAGAGCTTTGTGTCCTGTTAAGTAGTTTTTCTAAATAGAAACGTCCGCATGCTTTAAAATACCTGAAGTGTCACACTAATCTGTACTCGCAGGTTTTTCTCTTTGCTGTACCCCTGCTGCATTTCAAGCTTTGTTTTCTTACCCGACGAGTGTACATGTTCTGTCCAGTCCTGGGACATTGTGTCTTACACAGCAATATATTGTTTAAAATGTCAACCTTTGTCTTGGAAATATGTTTTCTGGTGCAAATATGCATTGTTTTCTACCCAATACGTAGCAATGCCTTTTCATTTCCATGAATTCTAGTTATACCTTTAGCTCTGAAGCCTGAGTGAAGTTTTAAACTGTCGAAACAAGTGGAGTTTATAAAGAAGCATGTTTTGTCCAGCTTGGTTTATTTTACACTCACCTGTGCGGCGTCCTTCAGCCACCCAGCAGCCTCTGAAGGTTAGTCGCCTGCCTGTGTAGTCAAGCAAACCTTTTGCATTCACAAAATGGAAATCTGACATTTGGGAAGTGAAGCCTTCATTGCAGTTTGATGTTTCTCGGGTCCAGGCCTTCATGAAAATACCGCCAGTCCGCTCAGGAGACACCAGCATCCATCTAGAACAAAGCAGACAACAGTCAGTGTTTTCGTTTCCAAACCTCTGCCACACATACTCCAGTTTGATTTAAAATGTTAAATGGAATCGTTTGAACTGAAACTTGATTCTTTATGTTTAATAAGTGTTTTCTTGCCATATTTTTCCTTGGTCCTAACCGTTCCTGCAGTAATATTAATAGGTGCCCATATGCCACAGAAATTGGTCATTGAAACATGTCAGTACATGAAAGTAAACATGGACAAACCAGGAGGATTGTTTGAGCCACAGAAGAGAAATGCAGGGGTCACTTCTACAGACGGGTGCTACTGCATCAAAAGTTTAACTGAGCATCATAACATTAGATTTTTCTTAGTAGTTGGAAAAAACAATTATGTTATAAAACATTATGTCTGGTTAAAGTGTGTGTGAACTTTAAGGATGTGGGATTGTTACATGTGTGAATTTTCTGTTGCAACTTATTACCTGGAAGAGCTTTTCTAAGTAAGACTGATGACAACAGGAATGTTGACAGAACTGCCATTTCTTTTGGTGCTGGGAAGAGTCGAACGCTATAGTCCCCTCATCCTTTCTTCAGGCTGTTCACATTTCGGTGATTCAAGACAAAGTAAAGGAAGCGAGGTACTGCAATTTATTATTATCCCATTCTTACAGAATCTCAGCTGGAGACATTGTATGTGTGCACGCTTCTTGTGGGGCATATTTGTCATAGCATGAACACTGTGATAGTGTAAAGGAAGAAAAGCTCCAGTCTTAATAGAAACCCACTCGAGCTCATTTGTAGTACATTGGTTTGTGTTCTGATATCAACTGTGAAGCCTACCCTCCATCAGCGTTCCCTATATGTTAATGTTAAATGTGCACACACTCATTTCCTCTCAGGACATTTCCAAAAGCAGTTTGGCTGTCTCCTGCACTACTACCTGCTTGTTGTTTTTTTATTGAATCACAGCCGTGACGGTAACTTCCTGAGTTGACATTATGGGACGTTTCATCCAAGCATCTTCTTCAGTCTTATAAACAGTACATTTGCATAATGACTGAAACTAACACATCTGACCAACACGCTGTGAGGTCAGGTTCTTGGTTATTAATATGCAAATTCTTATGACCATTGATCAACAACCACTGATCAAAGCTCATTGATCAATGTCCATGAGTCCCATGCTCAGAGAGTGTACGATGGTGACAGATGTACCCTTGGGCCCCTCCTCCATCCAGAGATGTTTTTCCCTTTTCACGTAAATGGCTGGACAGACCAGAAAATGTTGCCCACAGTGAATACTGATTGACTTCCTTTGTTAATGTAGGTGTTAGTACAGTATAATGGAAAGCCTTTGCGTTGCATTATTTCAAAGTTTTCAGAGTGCATGGATGTGATCCTCAAGTACATAGTTTCTTATTTTAGTACTTACACTGGGGAGTGCGATAGTCCAACATTCCAGTGTTTTAACATCTGCCTTTAATCAAATAATTTACAGTTCATAGTTTTTTGTTCTTTTTTATTCATTAAAAATTTAAATGAAGTCTCTAAAGATTTGAGCAGCAAGTAAATGAATGATGACTGTTGCAGCAAATCTCCCACAACTTGTTAGGAGAGTTTCTCAACAACTCCAGCTTGAAGAGGTAAGTGTTTTTCTTCTCGTGCATAACTGAGGAATGACTTTATTGCTGAATAAGTGCCATAGGAATGGTTCTGACCGCAGATTTAGTCTGCTCGTGGCAGAGACGGAAAGTCATGAGTCAACGCTGAGTCGTATTGCTATTTATTCCTTAGAGACTGAATATGTGTGCTGCTGACTGGAGCAGCTGCCAGTGTATGCTGCTACCCTCCTACTGCTGCTGTAGGACTGATGCAGGTGGTTGATCCATTGAGAATTAAGCTTTGTGACAAAAAGAGTTGGTGGTGGTACTTTGGCTAACCGCTTCATGAGGAAACAATCTGACAATCAGTCAAAATGTTTTTCAGCAAAGGTGTGACCATGTTGTTCTATAACCCTTTAAGCCTAATCCTACTTTAGTTACTTTAGTCTTAATTTCCTCATTCGATCTCTTAAATCCAAATGTAGGAGTGGACTTAATGTGCTGAACGCAGTGTTTCATGAACTGTTATGTTTCCAATAGAAAAGTGAGTCACGTTTTGTCTGGAATTCCAGTTTGCTTAGCTAAGTGATGACACTCCAACCACACCGAAGGAAGCCAATGGCAAACAAATGAACATGCTAGACTGCAAGTTATTGGCTTGAGTTGTGAGAAATACTAAAACTAACTTAAGTCTCTAACATTTCCTATTTTCCTAAACTGAAATTAAGGACAAACAAAAGCCTCTAGCTAAATGAGAGAAAAAGGCTTCCAGCAAAAGGCTTCTTGCTCCTGTGTCTGAATATTCACACATAAAATTTAAATGATATTTACAAAAAAGTTTGAGTCTTGCAGTCACACTGCTAGTAAGTGATGGGATGCACTGTCCCAAGGCTTTGCAGCATGTATTGAGAAATTCAGGAGGTCTTTTAGGAAGCCTGTATCGAGGCATGCTTCTTTAAGGGTAACATCACTGATGACATCTGCAGCCTCACTGGTTCAGAAAGGGGTTTAATAATTGGCCTATTATTAAACTGTGGGAGACTCCTACATCCTAAGTATCATGTGAAAAGGTTTTAGAAAGGTTGTTTTACCAAAAAGAGAAACTCCGTCCAAGCACCGAGGAAAAAGTATTATTTTTTTTAACAAAACGAGAGCCAGAGATTAATAACAAGTGCGATTCAGTGCAGAGAAGTCTATTAGTACATAGTGGCACCCAGTGCATCATGGGAATCCCCCAGCAGCCTACACCTATTGCAGCATAACTACGGGAGGATCCAGGGTCACCTGGACCAGCCCTAACTATATGCTTTAGCAAAAAGGAAAGTTT